ACGCAAAGACTTACCTAATGAACAAAATATTAGAGCATACACATATATGCGCAGCATCCATTAAACATCCCTAAAATATGGGTGAACTGATTGCTCTTTTTACTACATTTAGGATAGTTACACAATGGACTAGGGGCGAAATGATCTTTTCACTTCACACTTAAACCCTTTAGTGTCTAAAATGGACGAATGTCAAATAAGGAACAAAATTAACTTTAGGAGTCAAACAAGGAACTTTTTTTATTTTGGGCTAAATAGGGAAGTAAATTTTAAGAAAGGACCAAATAAGGAATTCTCTCTTCTTTTATGTTGGTTATTCTGGGATGACTGACAATGGGAACCAGGTTTCACTACGTGAGCATAAATACAAAGTTTCTGATCGCAGTGCGTAATTGAATCCTTACCCGTAGTAGTAGCAAGACCCGTTGAGCTTTGTATTTTGTTACTAAAGATCTGTTTATCCCATGGAGAATTAGAAATTGCAGTAATTCCGCATTTTAGTCTTGTATTACTTAATTCACTTGACAATGTCAAATATGTGTGTGCTTCTTATAGCATTTAGTTAGTTGTGTGTGTGGATTTTTAGAATGCTATTTACTTCTCTCTTTTGTGCAGTTAGTTTTTGAAATAATATACAGAAGCATGTAATATTAGGTTACAAAACTAATTATAATATTTGCTCAAAGTATTTATTATATATTTTCGCAAGTGTTGCACAACCTATGTGAATCATCAGACTGATTGGGAAAAGGAAAAATATTTAATCAATCGATCAGAATTTTGTTGCAACTATATTGCAAATTCATAGAAGAATCCATGCTATCCTTGAACTTGGAACTCTATGATCGTTGTAACTTCTCTGAAAATGCTGAACTCATGTTCTTTTGTGACAATCTGAAGCTATTTTGCATAGTTATTAGTTGGGTTAACTGACAAAAGATCGAACTTCTTCTGAAATGCCTCCAAGCCATGGTAACAAATGTGAGCTCTCAGTCAGATGTTTTTTTTATGTCTTATACCTTATTTTACGCATATGGAAATGAATAAATGTTCACATTTCAAAACACAAACAATTATTCACTCGGTTATCTCTTATGCTAATGCCCCAATGCTAATACTTCCAGGAACATTTCTTGCCAATGTTTGTGTGTACATAATTATACTGCTTTAATGCACTCATGGTGGACAACTTGTTGCTCGCTCAACTGAAGCCTTCGAATCCGCCTGCTGCTCCTCATTGTGTTTTAGGGCCAATCACAGTGAATATCAATGAAATCCATAGGATCAGGTCCTTTTGTGTTCCGCATAATCGAAATTTTACTGCAAATGGAATCTCCGGTGATTGGACACATGCATGTAATAGCTTACTGTGAAAATCGCTGTAATGCCAAGTGTTACAACTGGAAGGATGGTTTTTAAGTATTTTTCTTTTAAATAAAGACCAGATCTGAAATTTAGTTGCACCCTTTTCATATAGTTCACATATACTACAGTGTCCAAAATTTCCGAATTCCCTGACGGTTGTGTACTCCACTCAATTGGTTGCTGAAATTCAACGCGGCGCAGCAAAGCGCGCTTTCACTTCTAGTATAAATCTATTTCCAAATTACTTGCCCTCATTGAGACACTATTGTGAATAGTCTAACAAAATGATTTGTCGGAAACTATCTGGAAACTTATGCAGCGATTTAGTAAAAAAAAGTAGCACTACCCCGAGGGGTGTACTTGTTTTCTTCATCACAATCTATACTGAACTGAAATTCAGAAAGATAAGAGGAATATCAATCCTACTTTGACCATGAGCAGGAAGATATTTGAATAAAAAACATTTAACAATCCCAAGTGGCAATGTCTAGTTACTACGAAGGTATTGTAGAGCAAGATCCTTCCATTATAGGAAGCAACCTTTGGTGTGGTTATTGGCGGATCCACAGTTGAGCGAGCAGGGTGGCCATCCCGGGTCCCCGACGATTGTACAGGGACGTGTCTCGACGGAAATTTTTAGAAAAATTGTTGTCAGCGAATGAAGGGGCACTCACTCGCATGTACTAGTTGCTTTCTGTTCATGATACTTATGTGTATGTGCGCATCTTATCAGAGCTGATCATAATATTTTCTTATGCGTCCCGTTTGTCCAGAGAAGAAAATTAATAATCATACAATGGGTAATGGGTTGTCACTTAATGTTATCTCCAGTGATTATTTTTTTTATATTGAACTTAGAGAATCTTCAACCGGAATTGCCGAATATGACCCCATATATGTCCACGGATGGGAGCCAACCACACCTCCGTCCTACTAGACATCCATACCCCTCATTTTCGAAACCTCAATTCCATCCAAATAAATTTACCTGGATAACTGAACAATACAAAAAATGTGGAACAATTGATATAAACACACACACACACACACAAAAATAGTTTAGATTGGAATAATATATAGTTAAAACATAAAATTTATTCAGAGTGCATAGTTCAAACTGTAAATTCAATGATTTCCAGTCAATCTTTTAAATAGCCGGGTATAGCTTCGCTATAGCCCGCTATATAGTCTTTTCATCAAGGTGCCTCTAAATGATTCTATGTACAAATAGCCCGCTATAACCTGCTATAGCCCGCTATAGCCTGCTATAGCCCGCTATAGCTGATTTTGAGGTCCGTCGCTATTTGGCAATAGCCTGCTATTTAAAACATTGTTTCCAGTATGGATCCACATATGCTCCACGAGATCACTGAGTAGTTGCATATGCGTCTGGGTATCTCAAAGTTGTCGATGTATCTCTAGGAAGTTCACAACATGTGTTGCATCTTGTTTCGTGAGGCGGACATGTACTCCGGTCTTTTCAAAATCATGTGTGCGGACTGCTCCTTCGCCCACATCCGCCACAATCATGTTGTGTAATTAAGATTACACAACAAGTTATGATTTGCCACAAATGTCTTTTGATAACACATATTTGTAGCTCCACGAACGATAACCAATGAGCTAGGAGCATTCCAAATGCCCTCTCAAACATCGTTCCTAACATATTCTTGCATTGTTGCAAAGAGACGTTGTTTGCTACCTTAGGATCAGGTATAGTCTTCACAAACACCTCCCACCGGTAGATGCCATTAGACAGATCGTACCCCATGGTGTAGTTGTGTCCGTTGACACTTGATGGTGTAGTTGCACGCTGGAGCCCCAGCACAAAGGCTCTTGGATAATAAAGATCGTTGAAGCACATTAATGTCATTGTGAGAATCGAGCATGCCAAAAAAAGCATGTAAAATCCACAAGTCCTTTGATGCTACTGCTTTAAGTATGATGGCTGCCTCTTTAGTGTGACCTTGGAACTGCCCGCACAAATCTGATGGGTGGTTCTTCCATTGCCAAAGCATGCAATCGGCTGAATTGAGCATACCTGGGAAACCTCCTGCTGCTGCAATTGCCAATAACTTTCTATGTCCTCCGTAGTTAGTTCTCTCAAGTACTCAAGTCAAAGCACCTTCACCATGGTGTACGGAAATTTTTCCATTCCCTCAATGCATGTGCTCTCCCCGTCCAGACGACCCCGTCAACGACATCTCTAGATGTACCATATGCAAGCATCATTAGAGCAAGCGTGCATTTCTGCATAGAAGAGAACAACAATTTTCCACAACAATACTTTCTCAGCGTGAAGCAAGTATCATATGCGTTCACACATACATTATGCACAAGATCACATGACTCCTTATCCGAAAGGATTCCCCAAAAAACTCATGGAATAGTCGCCCGGGTTTGAAGTAGTTGTCGTAGTGATCTCGTTGTCTCTTTATCCTATGACGTTATATTGCCCCGGCATCAAACCCTTGAATTTGGGAACATGCTCCTCTTTCTTCTCTACTTCTCCAAGGATGATCATCAGCAGCACTAAATCAGCATCTTTTTTGTCATCATGTCTGAATCCAACGAATTGATGAACTCTTTGAAAATGATTTATCAAGCTCCTCGTAAGGAACATCATCCAATGAGTCCATCCTTTTCCTACAAATGAGAAAAAGAACCTAAAAAACAGCTCCGAAGTTTTATTAAACACATGGCGGGTGAGATGTATATCCGACGGAGTAGGACGTACAGGGGCGAGGGGGCGGCGAATGTGTCCGAGAAGCAATGAAGCCCAGGAGGGACAAGGGGCGGTGGTGGCGTTGTGGGTTGGGGACGGTGGCGAAGCTAGGGTGGGGATGGCGGCAAAGCTAGGCAAAGGATGGTTAAACAAGGATAGAAGTGAGAGGAAGAGGGCAGATTGAGCGAGGGTTGGTCACATTTGAAGGGATTTGGGGTGGGTCCGACCTGCCGGATTTGACGTGTTGTACACGTCCAACCGCGCCCAAGCTACCCCAAGTTCGCTCCACATATGGGTCAGCCGCCCTAAATTCGCTCCACATATGGGTCGGGTCTGAAGGTTTGATTGGATGGCGACATTTTGTCAGATGGTGTCCGGACTGTGACGTAATGGGATGGAGAGGGCGTCCGGTATAAAGCACAATACTTTTCGGCTAATCGTGCCAACTTTAAGCTTATTTTATCAGCCAAAAATGACGGAAAATAGTAACTGGCGAACGTTCGTCTGGCAGAAACTACTAGCAAACTCCTAGACCGCCCCACGATCTTGATCCTACGCTGCGGATTGGTTGACTTTTCCACACTCAAAACTAAAGAAATGCCATGACAGTTTTGCAAAAAGGCCACCAAGTTTTCTCAAATACGCAGAAACTGCCACACGAACGTTCACAAATGCCATCTCTTGTGGCGAACGTTCGCTCGCCAGATAATGCCAACCCAAAAACGATGGTTACCCGTACGTACGCCGACCCCGACAGCTGTCGCCTTCCAGGTGGGCCCCGCGCGACCAGATAGGAGGAGGCGGACACGTCACGCGGGCACGGTCACCCACGCGAAAGGGGAAGCTTCTCTCTCTCTCCAACCTCCTCCGCACCGCCACCGCCCATCTCTCCTGCTCCTCGTCGGCGGCAATGGACGGCGGGGGCGACGGGGCCCAGGGCCTGGAGGAGCAGGCGGCGGCGGCGGCCGAGGCGGCGCGGGAGCTGCGGGACGCGGCGGCGGCCCTCGCCGTGCGCCGCGCCGCCGACGAGGACGCGCTGCGCCGCCGCGCCGTCGCGCTGGACGCCGACGTCCGACGCCTCCAGGGCTCCCTCGCCCCCCTCGACCCCGCCACGCTCGACAAGGT